AATGAATAAGCATGATAAATGTTAGAAATCAGTAAAGCTGGAAGTTCTGCAGGAGATATGATAGTTATAGAAAATGAGGTTTTTACTATACCTTACCAACTGTATATGTGTGTCAGTTTTGAACTGAACAAGTAACAGTTTATAATGACAATAGTAAAACAAACTAATTATTAGAAACCTGGCTTTATTTGTACTAGTGATTCAGAATCTAGTAAAGTCGAAAGCTCACCTTCGACTGCAATCAGTATTTTATATTAAAGCATATTTGTTATCAAGACAGAGTACTCCAGTCTTTTAATCCTTGGTTTCAATAATAAAGATCTTGTTCAGAAATTAACAAAAGACATTTCATTTGTACCATTGTTTCTCAAAGTTGACAAGCATACAATTGTTATTAGTTCAATTGGATATTCGTCTCTTGAAAATTACTATGGTGCAGGAACAGGATATATCTTAATAATAATAACAAAGATAAGTGAACAACAATGACTCATTATATAAGAAATTAATGAGTCTACTTGTTATTTACATATATATCAAGATGAAACATGTATTAGATCAATTGAAGGCAAAACATCCAGTAATATTTGGAAAAAATTAGAGATTCTTATCAAATATGATAGAGAAACTCTTTTTGATATCAAACATTCTGATACATAATTCTTGTTTCAATCAATGAATCATAAAAAATCATTTGTATGTATATCAAATAAATAAAGTGATGAAAATATACTGGGACGCATTTTTGACAAGCAGATCAAGTCAAGAAAAATTCCTATGTAAATGTTAGATTAGAAGACTTTGTTTCATGAATAGTATAATTAAAAGAGCAATATTATCTAATTCCTGAAAATATTAGAAAAAATCTACTCACCAGATTATACTATATCAAAAAAGGAATTATTTGCCTGATGAGCCATGTTTTGAAACTATGAATGTTATGAGATTACTCCATATAGTAAAAAAATAGCAAACATAGAATTTTGGACTAAATCAGACATACCTGATTATGATAAAAATATTTTAGAAATATTATATAATACTGGTCTTTTATGCATAATGCTATCTGAATCGATAATCATTGATAACTCAGAAGAAGTAGATACTTTTTGGGAAAGTTTTAGATTGGCTTATAAATCTAATATTGATGAGGCATGTGGTAAAATCAGAATTTTATTTATTATTGCGGAAAAATTTTCTTATTTAATATTAAAGCAATGGCTTAAGGTAAGAAATCAAGATCTTTATAATATGTTATGATCTTCTAATGCTTATCATAAATTAGATCAGATCAGATATAGTAAATGCTGCAAGAAAATATGTAAGATTATATGATCCTGGATTATCTCCTCTTGAGAAACCAAAGTGTACTCATCAAAAGATGTCTAAAATCAAAGAATCACAATTTATTGACTTTTTTCTAGACAAAAATAATGTAACTATAAGTTCTTACAAAGTAGACTCAAAATTAAATTTGCTTGTGTTATATATAAAAGATCAAAAAAAAGCTTTGTGAGAAAAATTTTCTAAAATTTACCCAGACGGAATGAAAAAAACTTCATTTATGAGATGATTGGCTAACAGTACACATATTCATTATCATGAAGATCTGGATGGCTTGTGTCAAATATATAATGATTATAGTTATGAAGCATTCTCAGATTTGAAAGAACTGGCACGCAGAATCTTTACTAATAAGAAAATTGGAGTTAGTATATATTGTGTTTTATAACTAATACTATTGCTATTTACTTACCTAAATTTTTAGGATGACGTCTTGTCATGTATCAAAAAGCTATACCGACATATAAAATGAACTTATAAAAATGAATTGATGATTAATATTGATGGCATGATATTACATGATGATTATATCAATCATTATTTGTTATATATCTTTGAAGAATGTGATGAATCACATTCCTTACGTTATCAAAGATGCCAAGAATATTTTGAATTATTTGAATTCATGAAATTTTATGTCAGCTCAGATGAATTTTCACAGTATACAGAAATCAAAGATAGACTTCAATATTTTCTTGTGCATCAAGCAAGAAAAATTTATCTAAATACACAATTTAAAGCTGTGTTGAATCAGTTGGATGAAGATAGTACTGTAATCATAGCAGATTATAAAATGTGAGTATTACCCCAATTAGCCAGAGAGATCAAAGAAGTATTTTTCAGCAAATGAGAATGGATCTTGCATACAATTTTTGTATTTATAAAAAAGCCCAGTCAAAATAAATTGATTATTAGAGCTTATGACCACTGGAGTATGGATACCAAGCAAGATGCTTGGTTTATAGCTTCATCATTTGAAGCTGTATTTGAAACAATATGAAAAAAAATCAAAATAGATTCACATACTTTCTGATAATAGTTCTCATTACCACAATTTCCAGCTTATGGCTATCATAAGTTATTGATTCAAATAGTATAATATCCAAGTGCTAGATTAGCAGTTTCTCAAATAAGGCAAAATAAAGACTACAATAGATTCACATCATGCCTCAGTAAGTAAATATAAAGCTAAATTATGTTATTTCTTTACTAATACCATATTTACCCAGATTACTCACGCAATTAAATAATATATATGAATTGGATTTGATATCACAGAGGGTAATAACATCATAAAAGCCAGTCAAAACCTTGCTGGCACCTCTTTCACAAATATAGAACCTGATCATGACCAAATGAGAGAGAAAAATGCAGGAAAAAAAGTACCAGTGAAAACTATACCAGGAATTTTCAAGTATTATTATTGGAAATGACCTACTAAGAAACTGCTAGCAGATTATATTTGCGCACAGTCACTTCCGTATGTTGGCAGTTAGGAGAATTATTCACCAGCGGCTGTGGCAAATTTATATAATATAGAGATTGTTAGACTGAAATCTTCTTTTTTAGAGTATACTGAAAATCTCATTGATTAGGAGATGCAAATGTCACAGATGTCAGATAGATCTAATTATGAAGGTAGTTTGTAGCAATAATAGCATAAATAATACCAATATTATCTTGTTTTAAATTTAATTAGAGGATACTCAAAGAGCAGATGACGTCAGAGATCAATTAATAATGAAACTGACTATTGGAAAGGTCAAAAAAAGATCATGAGATTAGTGTGTCTTCTTAAATTGATTCTAAATAAAATAAGATTGTTTGATATCAACCTCATATTCATAAAATATAAATTAAGATGCCACTGCTTTCAGTTTAAGGTAAGCCTCTTCATCGTATTCACAAAGTGTTATATAGAATTTTAATCAAAAGAATCATAGCCTGATCGATTAAGAATATCTGCTATCAAAATCATGAGTGCTAAAGCATAATCAGAAAATGGATGGAAAGGGAAAGAGAAAATGTATGTCAAAAAAGGTAAATATATTGTTGCAAAGTTTCTTTATAAATGGAAATTCAAATCCTTAAGATCGCATATCGGTAAAAGAAATGCAAATTGAACTTATAAGATTTGTAGAATCAGGTGAGATTATGCAAGAGGATGTTCCAAAAGTGAATATAATCCAAAATTGGATTAGAAGGTTTTTTCGTGCTTTTAAAGATACTGCAAATGAATAAGCATGATAAATGTTAGAAATCAGTAAAGCTGGAAGTTCTGCAGGAGATATGATAGTTATAGAAAATGAATAATAAGAGAAATCATCTGCAAAATTGATACTATTCTTACCATGCCTCAGTTCTCTTGTTTTTAATCATATTATTCCCATAAAAAAACTGTTGAACATACCGATCAAGATAACAAAATAATGAATGTGAGTTTGATTAATCACTCTTCTCCATGAGCTCAACAAGCAGCTGCCAAGTTATAACAGAAAAATACTTCAATTAACTCTAGTTTGCTCAACAAAAAGGAGAAAAAAGCATAGTATGTGGATGTAATGAAGCCAATAAAGTGTGCTATGATTATAAGCTTTCATATTTTCTCCAAAAAAAGGTATATTACTGACTATGAAAATTTTGAATCGTTGAATGCTGATAATTTTTACTATATAAGTGGAGGCAAGAATGCTGATTTCCTACATAGCAAAAGTTACAAAAAAAAGCAGAATCACTATCATCTTATATACGTATTTTTATTTACCATTTCTGCAAAGACCTGCATATTTGTATCATTAATTGTTTTGATGAATGCAATAACTGCTAATAGCATAAAAAACTCATGTTCAGTATCTCTAATAGTAGATCTGCATAAAATTTTACTATGTATTACATACCTGATCATAACTGATTTGTGAATTAATTATTAATTAACTAGAATTTTTTTATAGTCATATCTCTTTTTAATTATTTAATTTTTCTTTTTTAAATATGATAAATATAAAGAAATATAATTATTATAAATATTTTTTATTATATTATTATTAAAATTATTTTATTTATTTATATATATTTTTTAATAATTTTTATTTTTTAATATAAAAATTATTAAATATTAATATAAAAAAATTAATTTATAATAATTAAAATTAATATTTAAATCAATTTAAATATATTTATTTAATATTTATATAATTAAATTACTAATAAATTTTTATTTAAATTATTCAAGAATTAATTTTAATAATAATTATTAAAATCAAATTTAAATTTATTAATAAAATTTAATTTATAATTTATAATTTAATATATATATTTAAATTTTTAAAAAATTATTTTAATTATAAGTTATTAAAAAATTCTTTTATAAAAATTCTAAAAAATTTTAAAAAATATATATATTAAATTGTAATTTATAAGTTTTATTTTTAATATAAAATAAAAATATTTATTAATTAAATTATAAAAAAAATTTTAAATTTTATTATATTTTATTTATAAATTTAATTTTAACTTTTAATAATTATTATATTAGTTAATTTTTTTATATTAATATTTAATAATTTTTTTATAATAAAAAAATAAAATTATTAAAAAATATATATAAATAAATAAACTAATTTTAATAATAATATTAATAGATTTTATAATAATAATTAAATTTATAATATTATTATAAAAAATTATAAATTAAAAAATTAATTTATTAATAAATATAATTATTATTAAATAAATTTACAGTGGTAATCAAAAATAATGTAACGCTTAAATTTTTTACTAATTATAATTAGTAAAATACATATTTTTTCTTACATATAAAAG